CAGTATATCGTGCGCAGCACACGGGTAGCCCAAGGAGTGAGCTAACCGACACAGCCGTCGCTTCCCAGCAAACAGTTCTAGGTACAAAGTCCCTTTGTCCTCATGCATAGACAAAAATGAAGCCAGGACCACCACCGCCACGAATGCCTTGGATGGAAACTGAGCTTGCCATCTAGAACCTCAAGACTCTAAGCAACGAAAGGAAGGAGAACTGAAACCGCCAGGGAACCTTAGGAGCACCTATGGCTATCAGCCTCCGGATAGTCATCTCAATCTCACTCGGGGACATGGCTTTGGTGAGACCAACCGCCTTTATTGGACCCCAAAAGGCTTCAACGACATGAGTGTGAAGCCAGACTTGGCGCAACAAACCTAGCAGAAAGTCTGGCAGCTAAGCAGGCCAGATTGACTTTGTTGCACTGGATCCACATCATCTCCCCATTTGGCATAGGCTGAACAGGTACGCGGCATGACCTGCACCACAAAAGGGTTGACGTCTTTGCAAACACATGGGGTCAGCCACATACAGCGGCTGCGGCGCTGTGAGCATGTGGACGGCAATGCAAACACGTGCAAACTGCAAACGCTGTTTTCCAAGTTGCCCCCTCATTGTTTGTCGCATCCCTGACAAAATGCCCACTAGGGCAGACTGCCGTGTCAGAGCTATCCCGTGTCATGAGTGCACCATTGCACCACACAGGCTTTCGTGAAACACGGCACAGCCTACCCTCTACCAAAAATAAACCTACGGCAATCATGGGATGTCCTGCTTGTCAAGCCGAATCATTCATGAAAGGAGCTTGCCTGAGCCCACAGGAACCTCCACCCAGGAGCCCAACAAAAACTTTGCTCCAGAAAGGAATCAACACTGCTGCACTCTGAGCTGCTTCGCACTTGTTCGGTCATGAGAAACTCACGCGCCCAGCGAACAGATAGGGCAGGAAAGTTGGAACAATCGATGTGTGGCAGCAACTTCATTTGCTCACTTGCAAACGTCCAGAAAGGATCCTGCAAAATGAAAAGACCCCCCTAACCCACTTTGGCGAGGACACAGCGAGGGTCTACATTCCAACAGTCGCAGATCGACGGCTCCTCCAAAGAGCTAGGGGTCTTCACCCTACCCAAGATCTCTGCTTCAAAGGCAATCTGCAAATTCTGCCACAGGCTCTTGGATGGTTCAACTTTGGGTTCGTACCGACGCGCAAAAGTAATCTTGAGCTTCTTGTTTGGGTTTGGGTTTGGTACTTTGGACGCTGGCCGCTTGCGAACCTGAGCCTTCTCGCTGAAACCTTCACCTGTACCTCCTGCCTCTTCATCCTTTTGCTCACATTGCTCCTTGTTGGCCTTTGCTCTCGCACGACCCTTTGGCTTTGCCTTCCCCTTAGCTCTAGCTGTTGCTCGAGCCTTTGCTTTGGCACGAGCCTTAGGTTTGGCACGAGCCTTTGCCTTCGCCTGACCTTTGTTGCGTCTCTTGCTTTTCACATTGGGGGGTTGTGGAACATCCTCCTCATTCGGGACATAGGACTCCTTCACCTGAGACTGGTCCGCTCTCCGAACAGCGTCCTAGCCGCAAGAAACAGCTCACCATACAATGCAACAAGACGTGTTGTAGTTTTACAAAGTGTGCCTTGTCAAATCATATCCCGTCCTTGTGAACCACTACATCCAAGATGTGATGGGCGAGGTGGAGAACCTGATTCATAGCCTTCTGCGCCTCTGCCGAAGGTTCCGGTACACCTTCACTGGTTTGCTTTGCTGCATGCTTCTGGTTCTGCGCTGGATCTTCCTTGCCGGCTTGCTGCTTTGGTGACGTCTCGATCTGGTGGCTTTGCTTCTGGCTGTCCATGGGGAGGGGCGGGGCTGGAATTCCTGCCTGCATAGCAACCTTTGTTTGCTCTCCCTGCTCCTTTCCTTCCTCCTGCAAAACCTCCTTGTCATCACCAGGCTGCATGTGGGCAGCTATTTGGGTGGCCTCAAATGGAAGGGTTTCAACATTGTCCCCCAATTGTGCAGGCGCTGCCTCACCTAAGCAAAAACCCATTAGGAACCCATTGAACAGCAGATGCATTCCAAGCATGTTCCAAAAACATCCAAAAACACACTGCTAGACTTCTAGACTGCTGGCATATTTCTGTTAAGGGTCACACCCGCAACCGACCAGGAGGCAGACTTCCGCTGGCCCTCAATCACGAGTTTGCGTTGTTGCATGCTCAACCTCGTATCACAACAGTAGTAGGACACATCCCTGAAACCATTCTGGTTGATTGCAAGCAGTGCGCATGACATCACGACTGAAGTCAGGCTAGTAGCTCCAACGCTTTCAGCTTTGCTTCAATGCCAGACAGGGTTGGGCCAAAGTCCTGTTCTGCATCCTGTGTTTTGTTCATGGCAGTTGGAGAGTAGTATTGAGTTCGCATGACTGAGGGGAAAATGGGAGGTCCTCCTCCAACCACTCTGGAACCACAGTTGGGGGAGGTGTAAAACCCAAGCTCCATGCCAAAAAACCATCAAGCTTCTCCTCTTCCTTTGGGGGGTTGGGTTTGACTTCCGCTCTGGCGTTGCAGGTGCCCCTGGCTGTGGCAGGGGCTGAGCTTCAAGAGGACTGGGGTAGGCGACAGGTGATGCCTGTGTGGCGGGAACGGGCTCCGGCTCATGAACAGGCTCAGCGCTTGGCACATCAAGCTCATTGCTATCATCCCCTAGATTCAAAGAAGTACGAGACCTAGGCCTCGGTGCCCAGTACTCCGTCAGAACATCGTAGAGGCGACGCAGGTTGGGCTCCTAGGCGGAAAAGCCGAAACATTCAGACTGACCCCAAAGTCAAATAGAGAAACACATAGAAAAACATTCTCGCTAGGTGTTTTTCATCAAGGCACTCTCCGAACAGATCCATCATGGCGATGAATCAGCGTAGTGAACAACCCCTTCAGCGCATGGGACTCGCAATGCACCAGACTGGCCTTGTGCTGCAAGTGAAGACCATCACGAAATTTCTTCACCTAGGCAGGGGTCGATGCTTCCAACAAATGAGTTTGTGGGCGCAAGACATGTTTTTACACACACGAAGTACAAAAACAATCCCCTACCTGATCCTTGAGGAGATCAACTGGCACCATGATAGGAGCGGTGAACTGAGGGGCCCAAAGACGGATGATAATCTCAAGGATTTCATGGTTCAGCGCAGCATTGGCCAGACTCATTTGTCCAGTCTTCTCGGGCTTTGGCCACTTGCAAAGCTTGGAAGTCTCAAGAGCATACTTGCGGATTGAGGGTGCACCATCGAATCTCTCAGCCAAGCCATCTAGAGAACCTTCTATGCGTGGTTCTGCCTTTTTAGGCATGGTGAAGACGCAAACTCACTATTCCAAGACAAAAAGCCTTTTGAGCAAAATGCTTCTAGTTGGACTCGCACATCTTACACGCCGGCGCTGCCGCAGGACGAGCGGGATTGCAGAGTGATCGTATTTTCACCGGCACTGCTTTTGCATTAGTGGGGGGATAAGACGATAAACAGAACCCTTTAGCGGGATCCTGGCCTCCAAATCATCGAGGCACTTGTCACCTGCACAGATGTGCTGTAGGGAATTCTACTTTCAAGTTTCGATGACATTGTTTCCACACACAAACTCCAAAGTATGGAGAAACAAAGAGTTTTTGCCGCTCATACAGCACAAAAAGGTACCCTGACTCTGAGGTCTCTACTCATGTCTACTCTGTCTACTGTTGTGACTGTGAATAAGACGATGAGTGGGATCCTGGCCTCCAAATCCTCGAGGCACTTGTCACCTGCACAGATGTGCTGTAGGGAATTCTACTTTCAAGTTTCGATGACATTGTTTCCACACACAAACTCCAAAGTATGGAGAAACAAAGATTTTTTGCCGCTCATACAGCACAAAAAGGTACCCTGACTCTGAAGTCTCTACTCATGTCTACTGTTGTGACTGTGAATCTTCCGGCTGGGTGCCGTCATTGGTCCATTCCTTGCCCTCAGTCGCACGCTTGTACCGTTCATCACCTGGGGCTGGTATGGGTCGAGGAGGTCAAAAAAGACTGAACACTTCTTTTTGGGTTTGGGATTAGATGCAGCCCTGTGACTCACTTTCTGGTATTCCCAAAGGAAGTTGGCCAGTTCGCGGATGGAGCCGTGGTTGTTGAAGTTCTCAACGATGGATTCCGCTTCTGTCTTGGATAACGTGGTCTTGTCCTAGGACGATGTAAGGGAAACACTGCTCATACAAGTTCAGGAACATTGGACATTGTTTTAAGCCAAGACTCAGTCACTGGAAGTTCATCACTCCTCTCCGGCCATAAGACGTGCTTGGCTTCGCCGAACCACTTGGAAGGCATTTGATCGAGGCCTCTTGCGGGATTCCCCCCATTCTCGCCAAATCCCAAATGGAGAAGAGGAGACAAGGAACACATTATGTTTCACAAAGCAGGCCTGCAGCTCTTAAGACGGCCATCGTCTCGGCATCAAAAAGTGGCTCTGTCATCAGTGGAGGAGAGCCCTACACACATACAGTAAATTTTCCTTGATCCGAAATGCTTTTCCCATTTCAAGGGGTGAACTGCATTTATGATCCTTTCCATCGAGATCTTTGCAAGCAAAAGCAGTGCCCAGGAGAGAACCCGGCCTCATCGTCCACCATTGTCTAGCCATCACAAGTAAAAGACAGTGTTCCACTGTGTTCGACTGTGTTTGGCCCTTTGCTGGGATTGAATTGGATTGAACTGGCGAATGCTGGTGATTGCAGTGGATATTGGAGATGTTGGAATGGTCTCTCTCTCATTATGTCTCACCACGGACCGCTCAGATCCTCTGAGGGAATATTCGCGGCAGGGAGGAAATATTCGCGCCAAGCAGGGGAAATCTGCAGCCAAAAACTTGATTTCCGCCTCACCCCGGGGAGAGCCGCTCTTCCCCAAAGAGGCAGGAATTTCAGTCGTTTGGTTCTTCTAGGTATGCTGAAAACCAACCTCCACTTCAGCCAGGGCTCAGCAATTGCCTGACCAACGCTGAGCGCGAGCGATCTTCGGACAGGAAATGCGCCACGTAGACGGCCTGATGTCGTTTTCTGCGACGACGTGTTGCTCGAGGGGCTGAAGGACCGGGTGGCAACCTGTAAGGAGAGACACGAACATGGCAAACTCCACAGCGGACTATATTCTTTAATATACTCTAGGGATCCAAGTAGCTTCTCAGAAGGTACTTGGACCCTCCAAACCTACATAGCAGTGTGTCCAATCACCTGCTGAGAAGGTACTTGGATCCCTAGCGATATAAGGCATCATCAAAGGAGGTGTAACAGTAGGGTATAGTATAGTTGAAACCACCCAGGGACCCGGTTTCTTCCCACCCTCGCAGTGGAGGGAAGAAGAAAGGCCCCTTAGACGCCAACTCTGGGGCCTTCCGAGCAAAGCTAAGTGGTGGGTTTTGGTCGGATGGTTTGGGTCAGCCCCACAGGCTCACCAGGCTGGAAAGACGACCGGGAAAGAAACGGACCATTTTCTCGGTGGAAACGTCCCAAGCTCATGGAAGTTGGAGAACCGCCTGAGCTCCACGGTTTCAGCTCCCGAAATGGGTCGGAAGAAGTGGACCCTCGGCGGCTTCCTCTTAACCCAAGCAGCCCATTGATGCAAGGCATTTTGCTCCAGGAGCTTGCAATATTGCTGAGTCAGACGCTGAAACGCCACGCCATTGGAGGCGGCTCGAGCCTCCTGGACGCAGCGCAGTGAGGCTGGAATGGATGATCTCTACAACGTGTATACCTGGGGACTCCAGGGGAGGCATCATGGGTCTTTCCAATCGCATCATGAGTCCTTCCATGGATAGATTATATAACAATTGAATGCATAGAATCTATGCAGTTGTTAATCAATCTGTTGATCAGTGGACATGGTGAATATATAAACGACTCATGACTTTCCAACAGGGGGGCAAAACACCATCTACAGTACTCAATGACTTCCACCGACCAATGACGTCCTTGCGCCATTTCGTCCGTCCGTCCTCACCCTGCAATGCCAGCATCAGCACGGAAAAGTGCCAGGAGAGTGAAATCTCCAGTGGATCTTTCCTGGCGGCCGACCCGGAACCTTTGCACAAGTCAACCAAGTCAACCAAGTCAACCATTAGTGTTTTTGTTAGACTCCACGACGTCAAGGGTCAACCAAGTCAACCATAGTGTTCTTCGATAAGAAAAAAAAGCTATGACACTCCAGAAACCGTCTTCTGTCCTGGGAATATATTCAAATCTGATCAATGTGTTCGATCGATGAACACCCTCTTCCAGAGATCTGATTTATATAGTCAGCATAAAATTGGTTATAAGATGTTATAAGTAATTGGATACTTCCAGCCGTAGCATCGCTGATTGTTGCTGTCTCCACTAAGTGTTGATACTGTAGCTTTCTCCAAGCATCTGCCAACTAAACTAAGGCACTTTAGCCGCATTCCGACCGGATCTAACATCAGGCTCAGGCGCGTGTAGGTCTTATAGTCAAAGTGTGCAACATCACCTTAGTGGCTGAGTAGCTGGGATATAGCAGTAACTCCATTGTCAACCAAAGGCTGGCTACGAGTCTAAGAGTACCCCTCAGAGCGGTTTAGTCTTCAGATGTCTTCTTGACAGTGTCCAAAGCTACCTGGGACTGCCATATATTTGCATACATTGGGGTGGCTTCATACCAGTCCCATGGAGTGTATGCATTGTAGTACGTTTTAGTCCAACAAATGCTGTGGGATCCAATCTGTTGGATTGTAAGCTTCGCCCGGGTCGCATGAACCAGCGGCCAAGCCAGCAGCCATCCTGATGGCCGTGAATTGAAGGCTCTCCTTGGACGCGGACGGGTGCAAACCGAGAATCCCAGTGGTCATACAGCAGGTGGGGGTGGGTAGTTTCTGGGAAAGACATTAACGACCATGCTCAAATCAACTTGAATGATCCGTGTGATCAATTGAAGCTATCGAATAGGATCCAATACGCAGGGGTTCCAAAGGGGTGCGGTGCGTGCCGAACTTGGAGGAAGTCGGGGTGCCCAACTGGGTGCCCATTATCCACTCACTTAGGGACTAAAAACCATCCGTTTGGAACTCCTGAAGGCTAGATCTCTATATTTATACACTGATACATACACTATCAGATCTCCTTCTTTGGCTTCCACACGCTTTCCTCCCCAACCAGCACCAAGCCGCTGGGTCGTTGCGCTTGCCAATGGCTGCAGGCTTGATCAGCTCGGTGAAGAGCAAATCATCCTTCGCGGCCGGACGGGCAAAAGCGCCCTCGACCCGCCATGTGCCGCAACGGGGCTCTGTGCCGGGGGCCAGACCCCGAGCCACGTCGAAAGCCGGAGCCCTGTGGTATAGAGGCCATGCAGACGTGAAAACCTCATGGCTTGATCTATCCATGGCTACGTCTTCCTGCTGAAATGGAGAACAAAGGTGCCCAGAAGCATCCACTCACTCATTTTTTTGGGGTGCCAACAAACACTCCGGCATGGAACTCCAGCATTGGTGCCTCTTCAAGCAAACGCAGAATGCTCTGGGCACTCGAAACGCCAGACTGTCACATGACTGGCTCAAAATTATGAAGATCTGTGAAGATTCTGCAGCTGCGGGTTGTAGAATACAACAAACTCCACCCGAGGCTTAAGCTTAAGGTCAAGAAAAGGACAAGATCGTTTTTAGGGGCTTTCTTGGACCCCATTAATCATGAACCGCATGTTGCTTTTTCTCATCTGGACAAAAACGATCCCAACGACGTCTTGTGCGGCGGTTTTAACCGCTCACGAAGCAAAAAGAACAAGGTCAGGTACACCCTGAAGACACAGAAACATGTATGGAAGAGTTACCTACATTAGGCGTAATAAATAGGGTAAATGTAATTACGTAGCTATTTCATACATTGTTTCATACAATTTCATAGATGGTCTGGGATGGAACAACAGATACCCTCGAGACTCAGCCCCCAAAGCAAGTTTCTTAACTTAAGGAAAAAAAACTTTGGGGCAAACCCTCAGGTTTTCTTCTTACCAGTTTCACAGCAATCTTGCACTACCCAAGTGTCCATAATAAAGGGGTATACCCAAACACTCGATGAGTGACGAAGTTTTGCCGTAGACGTCTACATGCATGCAACTATGCATACAATCATAACGTTATCATAACTTTATATCTACTCTGACTGATGACTTTGGGTTGTAGAGTCTCTCCTTCCCAATGGTCCCTAGGTCTCAACACAGCTGTAGCTCAGCAGGCACTCCTTCGTCTCCCGGAGCGGAAGGCACCCATAGGAGGGCACGGGGCGGATGCGGGACCTCGGTGGAGGCCGCCCAGGGTGGCCTGAAAGCCACGTCCTTCGACCCGAGTGCCAGTTCGAGCCGGGTCGGTGTTCTCGTATTTCGGGATGCACGGATCCACTCAGGTTCGGGACCGAACCTGACCCCAGAGCGGCTGGCACCGGCAAATACGTATTGGTCTCACATCAGTGTACCTGAGGTTCGGTACATACTTGGATCGTTGTGCACATCCGCAATTGGCGTGGGGTCAGGTTGCCTCAATCTCCGCGATTGGGATCCAACTCTTCTCATCTACTCCGAACTATCTTTTGTACAAGAATGATCAGTCAACATAGTCAACCAAAGTCCCTCCCACAAGAGGCTTGCCAAGAAGACACTCTCAGATTTGACCATCCAATTCGCACGAAACATCTGCGGCCACCGTGACCATCCGTGACCAGGAACGACCCATCCAATTCGCCGCACGGTTCTGCGGCCCAAAACGCGAGATGCCCTGCTGCTTCACCGCCTCCACGAAGGACGTCACCACTTGGCTCAAAACGCCCGTGGAGCCGCGCACAGGCTCCTGAAGAGGAAAACTCACCCGGACGAGGGGCCCAGTGAGGGGATGTGCATGGCATCCCTTCCGCCATCGTTGGTGACCCCGTGGAGATGGTACTCTCTCCCCTATGGATCCGAAGGTAGCAAACCCAACCAGATCACAGCCCCCGCCCCACCTTGGCTGGGTCAGTTGAATCCGGATTTCTCCACAAAACCCACATAGCAAAGGAACATCGTCTTCCAAGCCTTCCTGACAGGGGCTAGGTTGGTTTGGGGGAGCGTTCCTTTATTATTCATCCTTTTTCGAACTTTGGAAGCTTCCAAAATGAGGCCCTAGGGATCCAGTCGTACCTTCTCAGAAGGTACTTGGACCCTCCAAACCTACGTAACAGTGTCTCCAATCACCTTCTGAGAAGGTACTTGCATTCCTAGGGAGGTACTTTCTGAGACTGGTTCGGCACACCAAGCACCTCCTGGTGTTAGTGGATAACGAGTCCTCGCTCTGGCCATACCAGAAGACCACGCCAAAGGCTGTACGCCAGTCCAGCGCTTCCCGGATGACCTGCCCAGGAAGAAGGGGTGCGATGGACACCCCAAAACACTTCTCAATGAGGTATCCCAGAATCTGAAGTGAGTTGCTTTCTTAAACCAGTGTTTTTGTTGCTGTGTCTGGGATTAGTAAATGCCATCCATCAAGTTGACGCGTTTTTCTGCACACGAGTCCATAGGGTGAGCTGCTCAACTTCAGAGCTGCTCAACGCGAGGACAAAGACCAAGAATAACCATAGGGTTGGAACATGATCTTGGAATCCTAGGCCTCCACCTACCTCGAGTTCCTCGAGGTGTTGGGAATCTGTTGGGGTCGACCGCCCACCGCGAGGCGAGCGGAGGCGAGGCGGGCCAGGAGTAAGCAAACGGGGACGGTGGGACACGGAGGGACACCGGTGATGTAGTCGACTAAAGAGTGAAAGAGTGATTTCATCAGAAAACAATAATTTCAGTCTAAGTTCAGTCACTTCATTCGCTAAGAGCACTGGCACTGCTCTTGGGAATGAACCCGATGGATCGACAGACCCGAAACGGACCCGTCCAGTCCACCGAGTTCCGACGTTCCGCCGCGCCAAGGCATGCGCAAGGCATGCAGAACTCGCTGTTTGGCCCTCAAAGACCATGAATGCCGATTTCGGTGGATCTGGTCTTCATCGTCCTAAGAGTCCAAAGGGTTCTCTAACCCTTTTTTGGCCTCCAGTCGTACCTTCGTTTCGCAGGTGTTTGGGGTGGGTTTGGAGGGTCCAGTCATACCTTCTGAGGAGGTTAAGACTTGAGGTTGACCGTGAAGACTTGGTTCATCCGGCAAAAGTCTAAGAGTCCAAAGATCCAACAGCTCCAACGAAGGCTTCTCGTCCGAACTCATCCAGCCATCGCTTCACCATGGGTCGCTGACCGACCGACCCCTGCACGGTGGGGTGCACCTCTAAATCGCCCGCCAGCAAGCAGTAGATCCGCCAGAGTTCAGGGTTCCTCGGTGACCACCGGACCATTCACCACAAGAAAACGACGCAGGTGAAGGGCAGCCTTGCCAAGAGGGTCTTGGTTGACTCTGGTCAAGTGAAACACATCAATCATCAAAGAGATGTGCGACAGCATATGACAGCATATATATGTATATATGGAAACTAATCCCCTTCTGCAGGTTGAAGGATGCACTCACCCAACTTTCCTGTGATTCAAAGACCTGTGTAGAAGAGATACCTTACCCGAACCAATATAGCACGCCACAAAAAAAATGCATGTATCTACAACACCAGCATGGATAGCAAATAACAAAACACAAATGACTCAAATGACCACACATGACCTCAGCCACCTACAAAATATGGAGCTTTCGTTTCTATAGCATAATATATGATATATATATATATATATAATATATGGTGTTTTTGATGCAACATCTCCCATCAATCAAGTCTCTCACTCAAGGATCTATGTCGCCCCTTCCCCGCTTCTCTCCCGCTTCCACCTGCCGCAGTCACTCACCGGCTGAGGCACATGAGTTCGCCGACCCTCTGTCGCTTCCACTCCACCAGCTGCTGCCGCAGCGAGCGACGCTGGGGACTCGGCAGTGGACAGCCGCCGGCGGCCGCCAGAAGCGGCGCTAAGCCTCCAGCGTGACGCGGAGGCTGAGGGGGGCATGGACCAGATGATTCGAAGAAAAGCAGCCTACCCTCCTGCAGAGGACCATATGGCCATACGGACCCCGAAAAGATTAGTTGGTTTGTGGAGGCAAAGGGTCGAAATGACGGGTGAATTCTCAAGTTCCCGGGGTGTGCTAGAAAAAACAGATGTTTGATGGAGATTAAATTCTGAAGATGTCAAATATCATCTACCAGGTTTGTTCAAAGTGTCCTTTTCAGGGTCCCCAAGTGACCCTTGAGAGTCAGAGTACCTTTGGAGTGGCTTAAGCAACCTCAAGTTTGGATCACAAAGGGTCACTTTGAAGAACCTAATACAAATCACTCCTCAATCAAAACTCACAACATGGAGATATATGGAGTCAAGCAATGAAGGAGAAAAACCAACTGCCAGCTATCGCTCCCGAACCCCAAACAATTCAAGAACCCACTAGAAGCGTTGGTGGCTTCAACTCATGGACAACAAAAACGTATATCTTATGGACCCTAGGCCTCGGTGTTTCAGGTTGGTGCCAGGAGGGTCCAGTGATACCTTCTGAGGATGTACGACTGGAGGTGTATGGGGGGAATTAACCCTCACCCCGAGCACCGCCGTCCTGCTCACCGCTGCAGAAACCAACGACCCAACGAGCAGCGGTCAAAGTGAGGTCCTCGTGGCAGGCGGTGGAGCTCCTGCGTCCGCGAACGGCGAGGGCGGAAAGGGGTGGTGTGGAGCTCCAGGAACCCGGTCGAACGGTATTTGGATGTATTTGGTCCTCCAAGACCCGAGCAGTCTCAATGGATCGTTCGTAGCTCGGAACATGGGTACAGAATGGTGCAGATCCACCTGTTTTGTGATGGATCATGTCAGCCACGGGCCCAGGTCTTTCCAGTTAGTGTGGCTGAGTCGGCTGATCCCTGGGAGTAGTGTTATCCGCTTTGTTTTGCAATGGAGTTCCGGCATGCTGGGTGCATACAGCTGTCATAGCTGTTTCCTTCCGCTGCTCGAGCGGATTGCCTTGGACTTTTGCGGTGTCATGTTGGCAGTTTCGTCATACCACTGCCTCGCTGTAAGAATTGGAGACCTACACGAAAGGGTTGGCGACTTACATGTTTGCAAGCTGCAGTGCTGCAGTTCACTACGGCATCACGCGAAAGAGTTGGCGACCTACATGTTTGCAAGCTGCAGTGCTTCAGTTCACTATGTATCACTGCGGAAGGGTTGGTGATCTACATATTTGCAAGCTGGCAGCGCTTCACTTCATGAGGGCATCTCATCAACGGGTTGGTGACTTACCATGTTTGTTATAGGAGTTGTGTCCACACTACAGCAGGGAAGTGGCGGACTATATGCTTGCCATGTCTCCAGCTGTTGGATCTTCGAACAACAGGGCCCGCAACCAGTGGCAGGAGCCGGCTCAAAACCTGTGAGCAGTGTCCTGGGGGCGCCAAACAGCGAGGTCCGGTGGCTCACACCCCGTGGCCCTACAGTGCACATTCGTACGCGACAATGTCTGGGTTGTAGGGTTGCACTGACCGTGTTTTTGCCCAGCATGGGAACTCTTTATGTACAGCAACCACTTTCTTGCTTTGTTGATTCTGACACTAGAATCTACATCCTTTTACCTCAGCCGAGATTGGCATTGTCAATCAAGGTAGTGCCAGCCATTGGCTTGTTAATGAGCTTTAGGCATGTCTGACAAGTGACTTGCCTACTTTGCCGGGACCTCGGGCCCATGCCTGTGCTGTACAGTGGAAGGCGGGATGCCTCACACCCCTCTTTGAGGCTGTGCAATGCAGCTGGACCGAACAGTGCCACGACGCTACGCGGCTATTTTCTGACCTGCTTAAGACCGTCCGCATGTGATGGATCATGTCCAAGTTCATGTCCGGTTTTCCAAGGGACGAACGAAGTCGGGTCCAGATCCCCTCCAAAGGTGCTGAAATTGACTCAAACAGTCAATAATCATCATCCAGTACCGAAGTTTGAAAGAACTTCCGGCATGTTTGACCAGCGACATCTTAGCCGTCAATGGAGGTCAATGGAGGTCCAGTCCCATGGATGACTCCAGCGCTCTCTCCAGCGTGACCTCAGTGGACATCCAGACGGACCTGGGAATACTGAAGGGGATGCAGCAACTGACAAAGAATGACAATGTATATAGTGGCAGTCCAAACATAGATAGAAACAGCTTCCAATTAATGCGTTATTGGTGGGGGGATCTATCTACTTTTCTATCTATTTGGGTGTCAACAAAAGAGTATCGACAGTTAGATGACCTCTCCGGTTTGTGAGCATGCAAGAACCTCACCCGGGCGCTTTGGCCAACGACGAAAAGCGTCGAAGGTGTCGTCCTTCACGGCCGCTGGCACGTTGTTGGCCGTCAAGTGATGGAAGACGGCGTCCAAACCTTTGATTCATGACTGTCCAGGTCCCAGGATGTTCCAGGATAAACACATCACATATAAATTATATAGAGCCCAAAAATCATCCATGGGACTGGAAGATTTACCTACGTACATTGACCAACTGATCGCCTGTCTCGCTTTCGCTGTGATAAAAGGCAACCTCCGGCCTTTGGCAAGATGCACAGCGGAACCGTGTAAAAAGCTGAAAACAAAACACATTTCGCATGTGTTCAGAAGGGGATTCACCCACAGGGCCCAGATGGGACAGTCCCGAGCACACTCCTCGCATGTCTCCTACCCATCAAAACCAGATGCTTTTGGGATGGAGCCAGGCCGGCCCAAAAGGCCAATGCAGAAGGTTCTTTTCGGGGCGTTGCGCCGTTGTTTGAGAGTCCCTAGGGATCCAGTCGTACCGAACCTCAGGTTCGGTACGACTGGACCCTCCTGGCACCTACATAACAGTGCCTCCAATCACTTGAGAAGGTACTTGGATCCCTAGGGAGTGTAGCCATTGTTCGGAATGATTCCACTGTGGGTGCCCTGGGCCGGTCTCGGGTGCTGGTGGAGTGTTTAGGAGGCGGTCATGGCACCTCTCTCACCAAACCATGGTTTCGGTTGACATCCCGAACAGACGAGGAGTCTGGTCGTTTCACCCTAGGGTATGGCCCAGGGTGCTCACCAGGATGCCTTGGGTGCCATGACACCACAGCCATATTATCCCAAACACCACCAATGTTCCGGAGGTCGATGATGGGACGGCATCTATTCCAGTCCCAGACAGGTCGTATCTGGGATATGAAGCTTCCCTAGGGCTCCTGGCCTGCCTTCTGAGAAGGTGGTTAGGGTGGGTGCCAGGGGTCTGTGCCCACCTCCTGAGGAGATGGGCCAGGAGCCCGATTTAGGGACCATGACATGCACTGGATCCACGCCCAGAGACCCTGTGCTTCACGGTCACGGGGTCCTCGCGCTTCCAAGTACTTCCGCACCGTCTTCTGGTTCACACAGCTGAGCCACCTCACCGCACGTCTACCCTGGATCCCTTTCCACCATTGATCTAATGAGTTTTACCATTACCCAACAACCAGTGTTTCACTAGGGCCACCAGGGATTTCTGGGTAGATGTTCTTCGATTTGATTCATCAACCGCATCAACAGTAATGCAGAAAAGGTAAACACTTTGGCCACCTGACCACTGCACAATCCCTCCTGACACAACAATGCATGCGGATTCGCACTCCGCCCCGACGGAAGGAGAAACGGATCACACAGCAACTGCAAATAGATCTCGATAACATCCAATAACACTCCATGTCTCCCTATGGATCCACCAAATCTCTGAGAAGGTGATTGGAGAAACATTTACAGCATGTAGGCATGGACATGGAGGGTCCAAGTAATGCGCACATGGGATTAACCAACCCCCCCTATTAATCAAGCCCAGCTGAAGCCTCCAATAATACACTAATTTGAACTCTGCAAACCTCCCTCTAATAATGACTTTCACCCCCTATTAATCAAGCCCAGCTCCCCTAGACAAACATATAATTTGGTTTATATATATATATATGTGTATTTAGTTTTCATTTTTTAGTATTCACATATTTTTTAGGTATAGTTTATCCACCCCGTTTCCCATGCTGACCCTCTCATTCATCAATCATTTCTGATCATTCTGCTTGCTCTTCTCATCCTTCCCAGCAGCAATCTGTGCAGCCAACCATCCCCCAAAACCCCAAAAACTCTCTAGCAAAATTCGTGCATCTTCCCTTATTAAAACTCTATCAAAATCTTAAGGTTTTCAAGCTCACAAAGGGTACCCCTCACACAGGCCCTACCACCCCCTAATAGTAGGGACCCTTATTAATCAAGCCCACCCTCTGGCCTCCATCTTGTTTTCCAAAATTACCTTTCATCTCAATTCTTCCAAATACTAATTCCCTTTCATCACAACTCTTCCAAATACTAATTCCCTTTCATCTCAATTCTTCCAAATACTAATTCCCGTGCATTCCAATTCTTCCAAATCAAATTCCCTTTCATCATCAGGTCATCATCTTCATTAAGGGGATGTGGTCTGCACCCAAACCTTGTTGACCTTGTTGACCTTGTAGGGGGGGGAGGGTGGGGTTGATTAATCCTTTGTCGACATTACCTTCTGAGAAGGTATGTGGATCCCTTGGGTACCATGATAACACCGGAAGCTGGGAGGACATGTATTCCACATCGCTCTGGAGCGTCCAAGAGGATGTTCTGAAACGTCTGTAAGGATGTTGATTTACTTTGGTTGATCGATCTATCCCTAGGGCTCCTGGCCCATCTCCTCAGGTGGTTAGACCCCCCTGGCACCCACCCCAACCACCTTCTCAGGAGGTGGGCCAGGAGCCCTAGGGTATGGAACAGGTTTTAGAACCCAAACTGGTGATCTGCGGACCTGGATCTGTGGACACGAAAGACTGGACTGGGGGTCGAAAAACACCTCCTCACTCCCCCAGTTGTCCCTTGAAAAGAAGGTTAAGCGGGGAAACTAATCCCCCAAAAAAGGTAGTTAAAGGTCATCCGCTGACTGTGTAGGCATCTTATGCACCTTGTGAATGAGAGAAAGCACCTAGTTGCCCTCCCAACCACCCCCGCCACTTAGATTTGCTGCCCAGGAAGCGGGAAACACAACAAAAATCTCATCCCCATGCCAGGGGATTCACCCCAGAAGCCGGGTGAAACAAAAGCCACATCTTCTATAACCCAAATACCCCAAACCCCGCCCAAGTTCCACGTGTTCTCATCCTGAAGCTTCAGCTGGATGCCATGCTCCCCACCGGGTGGAGGGCACGGACGCCTCTCGCGCCTCTCCCCGCGCGGACGCACGCGGCCTGCTGAGGCGGCGCATCTTCTGGAGCTCGTCCTGGACGCCGAAGAGAGCCTCCGCGAGCTGAAACGCTTCCACGCCCACTTCGCCAAAGCCTCCGCTTTTGGGTGGGCCGCACGGTCACGGTCAATCGGCGGCAGTGGTTGGTCACGGTCACTGGAGTCGTTCCGGATCTGATGTGGTTTTAGTTATTTATCTATCCGATCTCCTTAAGGTCGACCATGAAGAGAAAGGGTGCACCTGGTGTTGTAGTCGACTAAATCCTTGGTGAAACTAATGGTTGTTCGGGATTTTCAGGACTCTTCAGGCATCTCCTTCGCTCTGGTTCCAACCAAAGCTATAGGTCGGACATGAACACCATCTTCCCAACCCTGGCCATTGGAGTGGATGGCATGGGTTCATGGTCCATTTTCCTCCACCCCGCAGACTGATGCGCTCCATCTCACCTTGTTTCGCGGAGTGTGGGGTGTCCTAAGCATCTCCCTTTCCCCTCCCCTTCCACGCTGCTGGTCGAACACGACCCACAACTTTCGGCCCGAGGTGCAGTTCACTGCCACCTGGCTGTATTTCTGCAGCAACACCGTGGCTTCAGCACCCACTGGGCTTAACTGCGCCGGACTCAGCTTTGCACGCTCGCGCGGCGCGGAGGGCGTGGGGGAGGAAAGGCCTCCGCGTCGACGCCGGGCTGTGACGTTGGGGAGAGTGGAGCAGTTGGTAAGTTCCTTCCCTAGATCGTAGGGGTTGATTTCAAGAGTCAATGTAGCGTGTAAATAAGTGTATTATAGTATGATAAATAGTTAATACAACTATTTACAAATAGGAACATAATTAAGCCACATGGAGTGATGATCTTTATGAAGTCACCCAAAATATGTGTTTGCTCCTCAGTCTTGGACTTTTGCGGTTGGCTTTGTCCGAGATCGAAGTGACTTCACCGGCTCTTCCAAGTGGGTTGCACAATGAAGGGCAGCTCTGCATCGTTTGTACGTTTGGTCAGAAACAGTCGGGATCTTCACAAGGGATCACTTTGACGAGCCAAACATACTCGCTTGGATACACGCGCAAAAAGCTAATCTCAAATGCACCAGCCATCATGAAATCCGAGTTGGGACACCCAGCAAGACTTTAAAAACTATCCCCCAAGCAGCTAAACTCTACCAGGACCCAGAAGGGGTGGTTGATCAAGAAAGGATTCGTTTATACATGGACGCCTGTAAGAGGGTTTATAGTAAATGAATTACCAGGACCCGCCGCCAATGCATTTTGACAAAGAGGACATGATCCTATAACAAGTAGATAAGTATCCATTTTCCACGGTACAAACTGAGACTTACGGTAGTCACGGTAGTATGAATTACAGCAATATACAGCAATTGGGCTTAACTTAGGTATCGTATGAATTACACTGGTTTCAGAGTAAATTTGACAAACCCAAACATGTCCTTTATATTGGGGTCCATATAAACCACCAACCTGGGGGATTGTGCGATCTACTGTGAAACTGTACTAGCTGTCGGGGTTGGTTGAGTAGAGAGTATGGGATACCCCGGCGACCTAGGTCGCCGTCGCTCCCTCCGAAGTCACACCAGCTTGTGTAACAACAAGATCCCTAAAGGGATCCGTTTTCGTACCTTCTCCTCAGCTTCGGTACGACTGGACCTTCCAAACCTACATGTCTCAGTGTTTGGACACATCACCGTACTTCAGAGGGTGGCGGTGGATCCTTAGGGCTCCAGCCCTGCGACACTTCCCACCTGAGTCCACCTGAGCCTGTAGAAGGCCTACAGCTTCAGGGTCTACCACGTGCCTGGGTCCGTGCTGAGCCCAGCGGGCGACAGTCGAAACCGCCGGGGGTGGACCCGGGGAACTTCGGTGGTCGCTGGTCGCACGGCTCCCTATGGATAGCCCTGGCAACCCAGGAGCTCCCTCCAGCTCTCTCTCCGGCTCGCAACAGCTAGCAAAGGAACAGTCGAATCAGTTGTTAGATGTTGTTAGAAATCCCTTGCACCTGAACTCCTCCAGTTGCTGTTTCCCGGTGACAACAGCATACAACTGCCAACTTGACCACCTGTCGAAGAACAATACAGAAACCACGTGCTGGTAAGAAGAACATCCATTATTTGGCCAGGCTCCGGACCGGGTATTCACCCCACTCATGGAAAGCGGAGCACTCATGGCCCCACTTAGTCATGCCATCATGCTGCGGGTTGCTTGGCTTCAAACATGCAGGTGTCCATACATGGGTGTGCCCCCAAACGAAGGGTTGCAATCCATTCAAATGGATGATTTGGGAGTCCCCCCGCCATGTAGCAAAAATCGAATCACCCAAAGACTCCGGAGTTCAACCATGTGTTTTGTGTTCGGTTCCACCCCTTTTGAACCTGAGGCAGAACCTGACCAAAAGAATCAATGCAGTACCAGACCTTGACCTGACCTTTAAAAGAACCAGACCTTGACCCCTTGAACCTCAGGCAGAACCAGCTGCTTCCAAGGCTCTCTTGACATCTCGATCTCTGGGTCTGTCCAGTGCGCAAGAGCCGCACCTGAAAGTGCCCATCCTCGGAGTCACCGACGCCGAACCCCGCGGAGTCGGAGGACGGGGACGGAGGGAGGACGCGCAGTGCGCATGCGGAAACGGCGGTGATGGCGAAGGTGCTTGGATTTTCTGGTGATGGAGCAGGGATGCCAAGGCTCCACCTCTGTCTGGGTGTCTTTGTTTGGGGGTTATATTGTGTATGTATGTACTATTGGTACTATTTCCTCTCTGTCGCTCTCTCTCTCTCTCTCGCCATAGATGGTCTGTTCAAATGATGTACTTGTTGCCGATTCCCTCCAAATAGCAAACATGGTTCCATGGCGAACGTGCCAGCGAACGAGCTGCTTTGTACCTGATGAGTATGATGAGTTTGATTTCTTTTGGTGTCTCCCTTGACGAAATCCTGAAAAGACCCGCAAGACTCGTCTTATCATCTTCTTACGGAATTGTCTTCACCGTTCTTAGCTTGTGGCAAAATATGTCATCAAGATTTTGCAATGCTTTGCATACCGGAACATTATTTTATGAAATGTTCGTTAATGTTTTAGCCACCTGTGTATGGTTCACCCAATTACTGTAGAATGAACAAGCCAAAAACACCACATCCAGGAACCTGGGTGTGTCAGCTTCGAGGATGAAACGTTTGGGTCCCAAACCTCGCGGGACGTCTCAACATCATCGCCGAAGTGCAACGCTGGCCACAGGGACGGCCAGCAATCCCGCACGTGCAGAGGCCCGTGAGGGGCCAAGCTCTCTGACCTCAGGATTTTTTTGAACAAAATAAGCATCACAAATGGATTCCGGAAGTATCAGGAATTGACATGAAGATGGAAGTTTTTATTTTTCTTTTTTGTTGTTGTTGTTTTGACTGGTTGGTGGTTTCAAACATTCTTTTTCGAGTCAGTGGGATCCATCATCTCCCAATTTTTTAATGATACGGCGACCACCGAGACGGCTATATTGGCAGTGGTTTGCAGTATTCAGAGGTCAATGTAGGTGTATGTACAGGAATATATAGTCCAGTCCCATACATTGAAACCACCACCTGGTTATGACATGATAATGATTAGACCGGAGTGGTTGAAGTGGTTGGTGGGGAACAGCAGGGAAGATGCATAGACTGGGTGGCATCAGCCGCTGATGAAATTGAATTTGACACAATCCCATGCCCCTTGTCCAAGTTTATTCATGTGAGCTGTGCAGTGTGGGATTCATCCACATCAATGCCAGCAAACATGGATCATTTTTGTTCAAACCGTACTACCTGCTTGATATTAAACAAAAAGAACACGGATTCAAGTACCGGCACCAATCCAAAATGCTCCCCATAATTCTACTCCAGGATGTTTGCAACCCACTGATTCCGCCATGTCACCAGCGCTTCTGACGACGCCACTGCCACGGTTTCAGCCGCCAAAACGGGTGCCTTGTCGTTTTCGCGGCGATCGCCCGTGGCTGGCAGCATCTCTTCATCCTCCTGGGGATGGGCCGACGCAGGTTGGCTCAAAGAAAGAACCAATGGCCAAGCCAAACATATGGCTCACAACAGAATAATTGGCTGCCAGTTTTTGTTGACATACAGAATCAAGAAAAGGAGGGACCCCGAGGTCCCACTCAATGCACCCAAAGGTGAGGCGCCCCCTTGCTGATTCTACATCTGAAGGGCCGACCCAAACCATAGATTTGGTCCAGCAGTGTCCAAATTCAATGTTGCATAGTATGATTTAACTGTATATCGTTAATTTTTTATATAGCAAACAATATTATATATTACTGTATGTCATACACCAGCACCCTCCAACAGGTCTCATTTGGAGGGTTGTTAGGCCCTAACAGGTTTTAATTGGTGACCTGTGAAGTCGGGTGCTGATATATATATATATATATTGAATAATAGCATAATATATTATATATATGTTCAAAGGCTCCCCTGAAGTTTCAGCCTTTCAACCAATCGGTCTCCTCCTCAGGCGACTCCAGGGCGGCCTGCACGCGTGCGGCCCGCTGGGCATCGTTCACCTGGGTCATGGTCATGGTCACCGTCATCGGTCGAGCGGGGGGTAAGTCGGGGTGAAGTCGCTGGATTCGGTTAATTATATCCCTATGGATCCACTGCCACCTTCTCAGGTTCGGTACGACTGGACCCTGGCGCCCACATCAATAGTCTCCAAATACCGTACCTGAGGAGGTACGACTGGATCCATAGGGTATATTATACCAGGACCCTCAAAGTAACCTCTTTGGAGTCTCTAAGTGACCTTTAACAGGCCTGTTCGTGACCTCATCCTGGGATCTCAAGGACGGTCACGAACTGAAGGTCCTGGTATATATATATATATATTTCCCATGCCAGGGGATTCACCCATATTCACCCTGGGTCAAAACCCTTGCCCCAATCCCCCCGCAGGTTGACCTTCCTATGGTCGTCTATTCTGACTCATTTCTGGTCCACCAGGCTTCCCTTAGGTACCATGACCCACGGCCAATATATCACCTAATCCGTCTGCTTTCATCCGACCAACCACCACGACCAGTCGCGACCCCCCCCAGGAACGGTCGGAACGACGCGCCCAAGCCACGCGCCATAGGAGCTCGGTGGCCTTCGTCAAGGCCCCAGGCCGTAGCTCTCGAGGACGTCGCCCGTCTCGGGCGTCCGAGACCCTCTCCTCAGGACCGGTGGGGCAGGGAACAGAATCACTCGTGATCACAAACAGACTATCACGGTCCAGAATCCATTTGGCAGCAAATGCATATACATGATACATGGCATTCTCACAAAGTGTTGTGTTTTGATTCTCACAAAGGATCAGAACACCTAGCCTGTCGAGTCAGACCAGGAAGCCCAGAAAAAACAGAAAACAACATCACCCCGGAGGCTCCTGGAACAAATGATGCTTTAGCGAAATATGTAATAAGAACACCGCAAAAGCAGGGGAAAAGAACGCATCGCACCCATACAAGCCCATATACCCTTGTCACCCATTGACAAACGTGCTCATTTGTTTTCGGTTGGTTCTGCCGCTGCTGAGGCTCAGCAGGCACAAAGCCCTGGCCATCTGCCAGAAAATCTTCGTCCCAGCCCGCTGCGATCCCGTACCTCGGCTTGTGGCACATGTTGACTCGCTGCAAGTGAGAGCTGCCAGTGCTCCAAGTCTGGGATTGGCTTAGAAGGAACCGGAAAAACATAACAACATATTCCACATAGAAGAGGATTCACCCACAGGTTCACAAAAGCCAATCAAAAAACAGCAAAACCAGGAAAACTCGTTGCTGATAGCTGTCTTTTCGTCCGATGCAAAGCAGTTGAGGGTTTCAAAGTTTCGACGTCTGAAGAGTGAGATCATTGGGCGCCCGAGTCACAAAGGCGAAGGGCAATACATGTAAGACGTCGAGCGGGATGTCGGTAGCGTAGCTGCTGTAGCTTGGGATCCGATCACTCATTAAGACCCAATGGCACCATATCTGTTCGACAGAAGACCCAATGGTGACCCATTCAGAAGCAAACCATCGACTCCACGGAACTGGGAACTGTTAAAAAAAAGAGGGATAGGAACTCCCTGCCCTCTTGCTAGCTGTCGGGCTCCCTGGTACTCCCCCACTGCAAACCAAGCTGGCAAACGCATTTCATGTTCCTTCTGGCCAGAAGAAGGCGGGTCTGTCCGCTGCTTTCCCAGCATCGATTCCCCGTCACCTACTCCCAGTCATTAGCATAGACTGGCTCGATGTGGAGTAGAAACGTACCCCAAACACAACCTACTTTGGACTGGCAGGCTCCAGTCGTGCCTCCTCAGGTTCAGTATGACTGGACCCGACCCTGGCACCCACCCGACCCACCCCAGTCCCACCTTCGAAACGATACGATACGACTGGAGCCCGAACGGGATACTGACCGATCAGTTAAGGAGGGCTATACCCAAGGGCTCCTGGCTCACCTCCTGAGAAGGTGGTTAGACCCCCCTGGCACCCACCCCAACCACCTTCTCAGGAGGTGGGCCAGGAGCCCTAGGGATATATAGCGGTCAAGGGACGTGGACCCGGGGCGTCGGATCTAGAGCTCTTCAAGCCCTGGCACCCACCCGAAGCACCGAACCAGAAGGCGGGCCAGGAGCCCGCCCGGGCCCTAGGGCTATGTATTTTGTATTTCCCGAGATCAAGGCTCTGGAACCGCCAAACATCGCCTTCTCCATTGGTTTGTGCTCTGGTTCACTCCCAGTGCACCACCGGTTTGTTATTGTTTGAACATGGTCATCCAAAAAGCCATGCCACGTAACCATGATGATTTTAAGAAGCACATCCATCCATAATCCACCAACACCTTGATCAGCAGCTTCCTATGTCGCCCGCAACTGCACCTAGCCACGACATGCTCAGCTCATCGCCAGCTCGACAAGCTTAGCCGATGAGGTGCACGCAAAGATTGTGTGCCAAGGGGTTCGAACCAAAACGCCAGCTGCGGAGAACAAAGGTTGCAAAGGCCCATTGTTGTACAGTGGATTGAGAGTAGATTGCACACTCCCCCCCAGTTTGGTGCTTTTTTGGGGACCTCCATATAAGAGTCATCTTGGGGGTTGTGCCATCTACTCTGATTCTTGTACAATGTGCCTTCCGCAGGTCTTCAGAAGGCCCGGTCCCGCAGACGTTCCGGTCACAAAGCCCGATGTGATCGGCTGGAACTGTCGGTGCCGATCATCCTCCCGAAGCCAAAAAATGACTGGAAAATCCCAAAATCCTAGGCCTCCAAGTACCTTCTGGGAAGGTGTCTGGGGTGGGTTTGGAGGTCCAAATACCTTCAGGAGGTACGACTGGAGGTGTAGGGAAACCGAAGGGATCACCTGTTCGCATCGATCTTGCCACCACAATTAATTGGGCGGCGGCCACACCGTTGACACTCTGGTCGGAACGTTCACCTGTTCAATGTTGAGTGGGGATTCCTCCCCAATTCTGCTCCAAAAGGTTCAATAATTCCCTAACGTTCCAACCATATCCTCAGAAGGTGCTTAGACACCCCAAACCCACGCTCAGCTTTGCACATGTTCACGAGTAATAAGTCCGAACCCACCAAAGGAATTAGATGAAGAACAGCAACTCTTCAACCCTTCCAAGGGCTAGGGTTCCTGGCCCATCTTCTCAGAAGGTGGTTAGACCCCCCTGGCCCTCCCCAACAATTTGTTCACCCCTGGATTGGACCCTAGGGAAGCATGTCCCTGGGAAAAAAACAAACATCATGGAAGTGGATCACTTCGGCCCCTAGGTCTGACCATGAAATCCATCCTCAGCTTGGTGTCAAGGCGGTCAAGGCTTTCAGCCATGCCAAACGGGCCTTCCGATCTCGGAAAGTCACCACCGTCCAAATCCAAACGACTATGGTGAGTGGTGAGTGGTGCAAGAATAACTGTCAGCTGACATGCAAAATCATGGCATGATCCCGGAAAATCTTTAAATCCCCCCACATCGGGCGCGTGTATATACAATATACACATATATACTGTAATTGACCATATGATGATACAAAAACATCAACTATCACATGATCATGGCATGATCCCTTATTTGCCAGTGATTTTCTCACCACGAAGACATGAAATCGACCCAAAGCACACGGTCCCCGTTTTCCGAGCGTCCCGGCCACCGGAAGAGGCCTCCGGGAAAAGCGAGTCTAGACGCAAGTAGGTGTCTATAAGTAGCCTCTACACTCTATTCATCCTCTATCTATCATCCTCCAACTATCTATCTATCTATCTATACCTAATTCATCCCCCGCGATTGTTCATAGGGGCGTCCATTTTTCATTTTATAAGCTCTGGGGTTTATAAAATGTGTGGGAGAGGTTTTTTGGTTTATAAAATGAAAGACCAGCTAGTTTACAAAATTACCAGCACAGGTTATGATAGGTTAAGATAGAAATCGACATCCAGGAAAAACAATTTATGAAATGCGAATTGCAAATCGGAAATGTCCGTAAGACGCCAAATCCATAGCCTTTATAAAATGAACATTTGTATGTCAAGATCTCAAGATGCCGAATAACTAACAATTAACATTGGGAATAGTTTTTCTTTATGCTCACAGTTCTTTTCTGTATGCTGCAGGATGGGGTGTGTTGTTTTTATGCGTCAGGTTCTTTTTCATATGCGGCTGGTTCCTTTTTATACGCGGCCCATTTTGTTCCGTATGCGCACGGTTTCTTTATGATCTCCATCTTAAGGGGGGGTGGGGGGTTTTGTCAATTACATGTTTAAAGCTGCTTTCGGGTATCTTAAGCTTGAAACAGCTAGCTGACAGATACCGATAGAAAAAGAATTGAAAACAAAAACATGTTAATCACATTTAATTACCACGCTGCCCCTTCGCAGTTGTGGGTCGAATGGCTGGGCTTGGTCAATATCCTCGAATGTTGGCGATAAGTGGCGGACATCGTTTGCTGCAGCTTGTGGGGTTGAGAGAAACGATGCAACATCAGAATGTGATAGGTAAAATCCAAACAAACATTCCCCGGATCGTCATATGTGCACTGGCCGGCCCATTTCCTGATATCTCGGCCCATTTCATAGGTCGGCAGCCAATCCTCAGACTCCACAAACTGCAGCCCAGTAAACGTCACCAACGTCCAAGCCCGCATCGACGTTGGCAATTGACGAATTTGAGCAGGCATCATCATGTCTTGCAGATCCCCCAATGTAGAGCCCTGCTGCAGCCATTGCCCGCACAAGTCCAAGATTTGATCTACATCTGTTTGGTGGCTGGACGGGGCACTCATCAACCACCCCTTTTCTATGGCATCCAGAAGCAAGCCCACTGCCATAGCGCCTTCCGCTGCCTTTGCCTCAAAATCCTCATCATGGACGTCCTCATCATGGACATCCTCTTTTGCGGCCTCTGCCACCTCACTTGGAGCTGCTGCTTCAATTATTTCCTCTTCTAAGCTCGCAGCCAGCTTTTTTTCCAGCTCCTCCAACTCAGCTGGTGATCTGTCAGGCTTGGTTTCAATCTTGACGTCTTTGTAGAAAGCCTGGAAATGCTCCCAGGCCACTGCGCGGAATTTCGGCTTCTTCCAACCAAACCAAGCATGGGTACAACGGAAATCATCGATGTAAATGCACCATGAATCATACATCTCGTCGGGCCACTCTTCATTCAATGGCAAAGACGTCTGCCACATTCGAAAAGAAAACGCATGCACTGGAAGGTGAGGTGTAGCTTCGGCAACCATTTTGATTCAGGTGTCTGTTTGGGTTTGGCTTCTGAAGCTTCCGAAAAACCAGCAGCAGAGCTGGCAGCAGAGGCTTCAGTCCTTCCGGCCCCACTTTTTTTTGCAGCTGCGTTTGCCTGCTCTGCCGCCTGCATGGCACCATAAAAGACTTGATCCTTGAACATGCCCTCGAGTCTGTGCATGTCGGCAGCTGTCAGCCGAAGCTGTCGGTGCCAATGCAAGGCCCTCGCAGGGGCTGTTCGATGTTTTGCTCGTTGACCGAAGCTTGCATCTGGTTTCCATGCAGAGATAATGTTGAACATCATTGAAAACAAATATATCAGTGCTCCCCACACATCCTTCTTCCGAAGCGATTGAAAAAAGCGTTTCACCACCTGGAAATCAGCTTGTGGCTCGGAAAACCAATCCGGCGGGGACTTGTAAAATGAAAGAGCATTTGCCTGATTGTGCCTCCTGGCCCTCAACATGTTTGCTCTCCTCAGCTTCTTTTTGGGAGGAGCCTCTGGACCCGTGACGTCTGCCGGGGGTGGAGGCGGTAATGCCGAAGCCTGGCTTGAAGACGCCTCCCTGTCAGAGACTTGCACCCGCCCAGGCGGTAGGGACACTGAGCTTTCCTGAATTCTTTGTTTCTTTGGTGCCATGGCGGTAGACAAACCTACCCCTGGAACACTACCATTTACAATTATGAAACAATGCCCAGCTGCAACTGTTGTCCTCTGTCGACCACCAAACCTTGTTCAGTGCCAGAAATGCCAGGGCACAGCCCTCCAAAAACCAACCCGTTCACGCACTCATGCCCTTCAAACTCAGAAGAGTTGCTGTAGCAAGACGACATACCAAATGATCTCAAAAGACTCAAGGACCTGATGCCTGTAGCGCTAGAAGTATCGTGGTTTTGCCCTTCCCGCATCGGTTTCCAAGGAAAGTCCGAAAGCACACTCTTGGGTGAAACACCCTTGTACAAAGTAGATGCTGAAATCACTCTCTTGGGTGAAGCCCCTTTGTATAAAGTAGATGAAGAACATTTTGAACCCGCCTAATATAGTACGCCGTAGTAACACTAAAACCTTTGCCACGACTAAACAACTTGTCACATATACTCCTGCATGCTTCACTACACACGCTGATCTGAGTCGTGAACAACCTCCAGTTGTTCCGATCAGGCGCTCCTCTTTCCAAGGTCCGCAAGTGTCATCATCCGGAGATGTTGGGGAGTGAGAGTTCTGCATAGCTTTACAAGCAGAAGACCTCCGCACCGGTGTCAATGCATGCTGCCAAGTGGCGATTCTGAAGGCCACACATACTTCGCCGTCTGTTCACTTCAACCCGAAACATGGCGAACGCTTCGTCCGGCAGTGCGTATTGTTTGTTGCTGAACCCGATTTCTCAGGGAGTGTTGCCCTGAGATGGACGTCCGTGGCGGAGGTCCCAATAGAAGCCAACATTCCACTGCGTACTGTAGTTGTGGTTATAGTCGTCGTCTCGTCGTCGTAGGACTGGGAGTTGCTGTACTAAAATCCCACTCTAGTAGCATGCGAGTACTGGTGGTAGCCGTAGCAGTGGTTGGACTGATTAGACACATGGGATCTGGTCGAAATGTCTTCCAAAAATTGCTGAAAGTCGTGTTCACATGGGGGCCCGCTACATATTCTTTACTTTTGGCACACACAGCTGGTCAATGAAGGAAACATGGACTAAACAAGTATTGGCGCCAAATTGTAAGAGGCGTCACTAGCGCTGCAGCGTTTTCCGCTGATCTGCAAGCTTCAAGCCGTGCTTGAAACAAAAGACATCTTGCAACTCAGCCTTGGAAGGGTCCACACACGCTGGAATCTGGCAATGTTTGCTAGCGCGGATCTAGCGCAGTCCTAGCGCGCGGCTAGCGCATTTTTCAGCCAGCCACTTTTCAAAAACCTGACGACATTCTGAACATGCCCTGAGGCAAATACTAGCGTCACTAGCGCAAGTCTACCGCAAACCTACAATGAGGTGCCCCTCAAGTTAAGATAGTTCTAACTATGTAATTGCAGTTATAAACTAGTTATAAACTAGTTATTCATAACTTATCTAACTAACTTGCATCTAAATTATAACTAAGTTATAAGTTCTGTAACTAAAAAATAGTATGCATTTTCATGTGTTTCATTAGCCAAGTGTTTTTCTTGCTACATTACAAAAAGTATGCATGTGGTTGTCCACTGCAGTGTTTTTGGAGTGTTTTCCTGGCACAGGTGTTTTGTTT